ACTAAGCTGTTGACGTCACAGAAAATATGATACCACCGTGCATAATTTTGATTGCCCTTAAACAAAGCAGCCGGGTTTAAACAGAGCATTGTTATAGAGATGATGGTGGAAGCCAAAGAGTGTGTAGCTAAAGCCGAATTTATATTCGAGGCGTAAAACAAGATGACTTTAATATTCATCAAGTCGCGAGCCATAAAGGCGTGCTACTGAAAATATCATGGAAGCAATTTAAAGTTGGGGTATCTTCTTGTATCATAATTTTAGGGTATTTGTTAGCGCTTTCGCGGTAAGGTAGAGCTTATGTTTATGTATTAATTTTAATTCACGGGTGATAAAAAGTAATTCTCGTATGTACAAGCAAGCTGATTCAGATATTTATAATTGCATCCTTTAACTTACAAGCGAAGAGACGGTCATTTTATTCTTATTAGAACCTTCATGGTCAGAAGATTTATTTTGATCCAAAACGTTGATTTTACCAGAAAAGTTTACTCTTTTTCTACTGTAGAAGTAAATCGATGGTTTAAGCTGGTAAACTTGTACCATAATCAAAACCTCATACACGTGTTTTGACTATAAAAGTACATTCTTTGCCTTTATTATATCGTAATAGCTTTCCGGTGGGCCACGTTGCGTTTGATGGCTTTAATCACATTCGGCTTATGGCTCGTCAAGGACATTGCTATGGCGTGCTCGGATTCTCTTTGAACTTGATCAATTTGATTGTTTTATTCATGATACATTTTGCAAAATCTAAAATTTTTACACCTTTGAATTTTAAAGGTGAGAAAAAATTCACATATATCTGAAATAACCTGACAAATGAAATCTGCATCAAAACTAAAAACTTACGTTTTACAGTCTGTGCAATTTGAAAGTCTATTAAAAAGATAATAATATCTATTCGCACAATAGGAGAGGTATTTAGTTTTCAATAAAACTAAAAGCAAAGAGTGGAGTTGAGTTCAAACATCTCGAATGTTGAACTCGATTAGCACAACTGTATACCCATTTAGCGTCTCAGTAGCAAAACAAATAAAGCAAATGTCAATAAGAATAGCCCATTATGATTGTACTGTAACCGATTGCGTAGTGATCACTAACTGTGAGTCACATTTTCTGACGTAGGCCAGCCACATGGTCAGGATACNTTGCCCCCAGGATTTAAAGTATCGATATCTTATCGACTCCATTTTATCTTTTTTCTCTCTAATTGCTTTTTTCAAAGTGTGCGTCACGTCACGCGGCCATTGATTGGCCATTGGCGATGCAAAGATTCTAACTAGCGCCTCTAGTGTCAAAATTGTGAAGCTGTCTAAGAACGACACTTTGACAGTTTTCGTTACAATTAACGTCAGGGAAAAACATAAATAATAAATACAAATAAGATTTACGTGGCATTTTGCTGTTTAAGACAATAATTATGTTGTCAATAGTCGATGTAATTAATGCGTCTGCAGGATACACAAAACCAATGCGTTCTGGTGAAGAATTATTACGGAGTGGAATGGTGATTTCGGTTGGAAAAAAAGAGAAAAATAATAACGTAATTCATGTACAAGCACTGGTACTACGAACGTCGGGATTAAATTCCAAACATCCAGCCATTATAAAACTGTGGATAGATGTATCTCAAGAATATGGAAATAGATTAGTTGGTGATAATGAACAAGAAGTCACAAAGGTCTGCGATTGTCCTGCTGGAGCTTCAGAGAAATGTAAACACATATTAGCTGTTATGCTTTATCTCTCAAGGTTTGTAAATTGGTCAATTACTTTTATATCCATTTGTCCATCCTCATCCATATGCACTATGAATTCTATAAAATAATGTTAAAGTAGGTACCTAATTTACTCTGACTGTCTGTCTGTAACAATTTTACAGTCAGGTAATAGATAATGTAAAGTACTTACCTATATAAGTACTAGACCATANAAATTTATTTGAAGTAATTTCATTCCTGCTCTCTATTCCCGCCACTTCGGCATTTACAGAAAGGATATTTTCGGTTATGAATTCGAAGTGGCGAGAAGAAAGAAACAGAAGTAGTGTATCATTAATAAAAAATGAGCTTTTGATTTATATTAATTTAAAAATTGAATGTGACAAAGCATATGACACTTTTATTTTAAACAAAAAACTGTTACACAGCGCAAGAACTGCAGAAAAATATAGTTTTATAAAAATAAATAATTAAAAAATGTATATTTGTCTATTTTTTTGTTTTTCCCATAAAATACTATATTTTTTTTAAATGTACTATATTTTTTTACACCTTATTTTGGAAAATACTATATTTCGCTGATGAAATGTTGGCAACCCTAATTAGAACCTTCATGGTCAGAAGAATTAATTTGATCAAAAACGTTGTTTTTCTAGAAAAGTTTACGCTTTTTCTATTGTAGAAGTAAATCGATGATTTTAGCTGTTAAACTTGTACCATAATCAAAACCTCATACACGTGTTTTGACTATAAAAGTACATTCTTTGCCTTTATTATATCGTAATAGCTTTCCGGTGGGCCACGTCGCGTTTGATGGCTTTAATCACATTCGGCTTATGGCTCGTCAAGGACATTGCTATGGCGTGCTCGGATTCTCTTTAAAGTTGATCAATTTAATTGTTTTATTCATGCCTACATTGTAAAATCTAAAAATTTTTCACCATTGAATTTTAAAGATGAGCAAAAATTCACTTATCAGAAATGATGACCTACCAACTGAAAGAACTGACAAATGAAATCTGCATCAAAACTAAAAATATACGTACAGTCTGTGCAATTTGGAGAAAGTCCATTAAAATGATAACATCTATTAGCACACTAGGAGAGGAATTTAGTTTTCAGTAAAACTAAAAGCAAAGAGTGGAGTTGAGTTCAAACATCTCGAATGTTGAACTCGATTAGCACAACTGTATACCCATTTAGCGTCTCAGTAGCAAAACAAATAAAGCAAATGTCAATAAGAATAGCCCATTATGATTGTACTGTAACCGATTGCGTAGTGATCACTAACTGTGAGTCACATTTTCTGACGTAGGCCAGCCACATGGTCAGGATACAATAGTTAGACAAGTGTTCTTCAATGCGATTGGTTCAAATTACATGTCAGCAAGAAGCCTACTCTTGAGCGATATCTTCAAAAAATTTCAAGAGTTCATTTCTGCATTAGGAAAAATAATGTCATGTAAAATTAACATCTATGCGTTTTTTTACCACTAAGACTTTTATATTGTATATTTTTCCTAAATATTTTTCTAAATTCCAAAAATACTTTTTCCAGAGAACATTGACCTACCTATATTAAATTTAGTAATTGCTCCATATTTAATTTTCGTGTGTGCAGTTACGAGTAATATTGATAATGATATCATTACCTAAAATACCTCTGATAAAGAGATAAATCAGAACCCTATCATCAACGTGTTTCGCGTCGATAACTACTCTGCGATAATTGACTACACTTATAAAGTTCTGGCCAATTCTACGAAACGCCGATTTCATGCTGGACTGTGCCAGGTAAAATATTATTAACCGAGACCGGTATCTGGCAAAAAACATACATACAGCAATGGTTATAGCCTCCTTGACACGATTGCACGAACAAAACACAAAAATATGAACAAAACACCAACGTTACCTAATTGGTATGAGGTTCCTATGTAATTGAAGTTAGATTAGGCATTTGGAGGATGCACAACAATGGGATAACCTTGTGCAGTTATTACTGCATCCTGTTGATAAGTGCATTCAGATATTGTTTTGAACGATTGTCGTTAAAAGTGATATTCAGTAATTTGAGGTNTGATTGGCAATGTTTTCTATTGTAGAAAGTGACAATTATGACGAATATTTAGTAGTTTGTTATTATTGTGATGTAGTAGTATTAAGACAGGTATCATTTCTTAGACGTGATGATTCAATGATTTCTTTAAAAGGGGATCTAAGTAGTCTAATGATAGAATTGATCCCGTTTACTTCAAAAAAGTTATCCCTGATGTAGCGAATAAATTGACACTCATCTTCTCAGTTTTGTATCCTTCATTATTAGCAGTATTTCAAGGTTGTTCAAACCTTTTGCATTCTGCTTCAGACAAGTGTTTTAAAATTTTGCTCATTAAAATGTATGAAGTTTTTATATATAAGTGTATCTAAATGTGGAACTAACGACAAGAACTAACAGGTACGTATGAACATTTCTAGAACCAGTTATGACTGCGAATACTATGTCTATGATGGGAGACCATAAAAACAGAAATAGAGGCAAATGTATATGCTGTGTATGTTGGAACTGTTATATGTAAATCAGTTACCCACTCAGAGTATATTGACACACGGAAATGTGTGACTTCGGTACAGCTACAGACGACACCGAAATAAGTTTTCAATTTACTTGAGTGTTCTATCATTACATGTCTATGTTGAAATGCAGTGTTCATATATTTGAAACGTATTAATTGCCAGTCAATTAAGTAATGAATTATCACTAATTCGAGTTAATTAGATAACATGTTTTTATAGCAGTAAAAATAACTGTTATTCACTTAAATAAAGCCGAAATGTAAAATTTATATTTTAAAGGAAATAATCTTCGACGAAGACGAGCAAATTGATCTTTATACGGATACCAACTTGATTCTCAATGGGTTTGTTGACAGTAAAGCTTCCAGTGTAATTGATGCAAAAACAAGACCATTAAACGATCATGGTTGCGATGTTAATGCAAATTCACTATCGGATAAACGCATCAGTATATTGGAAGTAAATTAATTATAGTGAGCAGGAACGATCGACCGCGCAGAAACACCTACGCTACGCACCGGTCAAACAAGAAAAAACAAACTATAATCAACCAAGGCCCGCGTGTCGTTGAACTTGTCCAGTACACAATTTTAAAATTCCTCCACTTACACCATCTTTGCATTGCTCTAACATGACCGGCCAAGTGACATTCCGAATGCATCCAATCGCATTATTATTCGCGAAGCATATAACACCAACCTTGATTTATACCCTGGTGTGATTGAGGATGAGTTGGGAAAATTGATTTTTGGGGGAATCCAGAGGTCACACACAAAAGGTTTCTTATGAGCACATGTCACTGACAATCCACAGGTAAGATATTCGAAAGCTCGCGAGTAGTTGGATAACTGACCGAGCGCACGTCTGCTCGGGTCGGCCGCCAGTTCGAGACTGAGGGAGTTCTATGGAGGTCCGTTGGTCGGAGGTCGGAGGCGATTGGCTGAGGAGAGAAACGGGATGCGGCGAGATGTGCGCATCGGCTCGCTTCCGTTCGACGCGTTTGATAAAATTTGCGGCGGAAAAACGTGAAATAATAGATGTGGCCCGCATTTTAATGAAGCCTTATCGTTCCATTATTGGTGACGCTGATAATTTTGCCTCGTCAAAGGACATTGTAAGCGATATGAATGGTCGAGTCATTTGTCTGATTAATACATATTATAATGTTTGCTATTTGATGTAACGTTAAACTGATAACGATAAGAATTATTATTGTATTGTTGCAATCTTAATCACATAAGCGGATATGAGCATAAAATGTAATAAGGAGCGGAAGGAATTTGGGTAGACATAATATTATGTACAATTCAATAGATTTGACTATCTTAGCAAATTGCTTCATGCTCATATTTCGTTTTGCTTATAAGTAAGCTCGTTCATTTCAGCCAAATGACATCCATTGCTGGACATAGCCCTCTCTTAAGGATTTCCACAACCATTGCTACCCGCATCCAGGGGCTTCCCGTGACTTTCACCAGATTGTCGGTGCACTTAGTGGGAGGCCTACCTACCCCCCACATTAAAATAGTATGATTAAGTGACCCGTATCACTTACTCAAAGGGCTAAAAAGACTATATTTAGTTTTTTGGTAACAGCTCTTGCTTTACTCAAAGTATTTATTGACATGGGAAAAATACTACATGGTATCCGTCATTTTTGTGCCACGGGCAAACAGTATGTGGTAGTACCACAAACTGTTGTATGGAAGTGAGTGTAAAAGATGTTATTTTTCTCACAAAATAAGTACCTGTGTAAAAATAGTCTTATACGGGTATCTATAGAAATATAAATAGTAAGTAAATATATCTTATTAATTATCTGCTCATAGCAGAAATATCTCAATAGTTATAAAAGTAGGTATATGACTTTATAACATGTTGTTTTCAAAGATGACAAGTAAAATAATAACATCCTGGGTAAATCCAGTCTACATCAATGTAACGGACTAAACACAACGAGATATCACTATACGTTACTCAAACATGAAACTGAAAGTGACTACAGCGTTTGTAAACTGATAGGTATCATTCAAACAATGTCCTTATCAAACGGGCTATGTAACGAGCAAACAGTATCAAAGATTTTCTAGGAAATTGTTTAGGATACTTTTTATAGAATTTGGTAAAAATGTATGTCAAACCCAGCTCAAACATAAAATATATTATTATCAGCCCCCCTAGACAAGTTGCACTTTTTGATCGAATCGAAAGGCCTTTCGACCATTTTTCGACTGGTTTGCGATTATAATGTGCACTTTGTCTAGACCCACAGGATATAAATGTCCTGTTTCACAAGTACATCATTATAATGGATATTAAACCTAGTAACATGATTTCAATAAATAGAAATACATAATTAAGAGCAACAATAATGACGTAATGAATTAGGTATCGAAAGAGTTATATAATTTCAATGTAAACCACAATTACCACAAATTACAACTCGTAATTGGCTTTTTTTTTAAAACGCGTGTAAAACTTTTCACATAAGTAGTAATTTACGCTTATAAAATTGAGCTGGAAATTCTGAAAAGATGATTCACATGAGAGAAATGCATACCTTCTCGTATCAAAATCTGCATTATAACAGTAGCCTAAATTTTACGAATATTCACAAATATTATGTTTTTTTTACAATTAAAAAGTGATTAAATTGAAAGCTAATTTCATGAGCAGTTTAAAAAGCTAAATATAGACTGAACTTGCACTAAGCGTTTCGATGACTCTTTTATAATGCGAACAGCTAGGGACTGGAATTTGTTGCCTGCTGCTGTCTATCCCGAACACTATAATCCGGGCCTTTTCAAGGCGAGAGTGATTAGGCACTTACATGTCAGATAGTACCATCCTAGACTGCATCTCACTTAACATCAGGTGCGATTATGGTCAAATATCTTCCTTGTTATGCATAAAAAAAACTTGCACTAAATTCTAAAAATAACACTTTCCATTTAAATTCCAAAGAAAGCTGTTTACAATTCCATCCGTACCCAATACAACACAAAACACATGCAAGCTTAAAGTTAAAAGCGATTACAGCACGCTCGCGTGTGAGCGTTATCACACGGGCACTTCCCTTATCAAGTGGTCTGCACTCGCATTGGCAAGGGCGCGTTCACACTGGAATACATTTTTATAGTTAAACTTTTTATTGGAAGATTAAATTAATAGTATCAGGCTTTACTTTGCGGAAATCCATATTTTTTTAATAAAAAGATAAAATTACTTAAATTTCCACTTAGTGACGCCGGCACAAGTAGTGTACAGTGTACCCAACCAAACCACATGGGTACGCGCGCGGATTGTGATTTGTGTGGTTGGGTACTTAGTGGAAATTTTAAGCTAAGTAACTGTCTGTCAGTCTGTCTTGCTTTCACGCCTAAGCCACTAAACCGATTTTGATGATATTTGGCATAGAGATAGTTTGAGTCCCAGGAAAGGACATAGGATAGTTTTTATCCCGGTTTTTGAAACAGGGACGTGCGCCATAAAGTTTTTCTGTGACAGACAAAATTCCACGCGAGCGAAGCGGAAAGCTAGTAGTATAGTACATAATACAGTTACACAAGATTCCACACAGTGTTTCATTAATTTGTTACATACTGCTCAAGAATGCTCTTAGTTTTTTATTTGAGATTAATATTAAATGTGGTTCTACATGAATAGTTACCGAGTTCCGAGTTATTATTATAAATAAAAATTCGGTATAATTTAAACCGCAATTGCGTATAGGAAACGTTAGAATTATTATTACATAAATAATCATAGAAAGTGTTAGTAATATATTTCGATGAATGATTAAAATTGTTAGAACTGCATCAAATCATTATTTCTATACGATCCTAATGATTATAATTATTGAATAAGTATAATTTATTTAGAATAGAATAGAATAGAAAAGAAAAGGTTTATTGACACAGTAAAAAAGACACAATACAAAAAAACAACAAAAACACAAAATAATTATGTAGGCTATTAAAACAAGTGGTGAGAAAAAACTGTGCCAATAGGCACCCGCTCAGCATTTATTTTGACATGCTCAAAAGGGCAAGTCACGAAGCTGGTCTTCCGCGGACGCCCTTTCTTATTGCGCCAGCGCAACCCTTGGAGAAGACACCGTCTAAAAATAATGTAACCGTAAATTATAATTAGTGAAAGTTCGATGTCTCTCCAAGGGGCACGCAACGCAGGGTTGTGTGTATAATTCGGTTACAGTACGCATCAAGAATAATAAAAAAATACAAATAACTTATCAAAACTACACAAGAGAAGAATAAAAATAAAAAAAAAACAAGACAAGAAACAACAATAACCTCGAAAATCGAATTATCGATTAATCGCACAGATGATATCGTAAGTATCGTAATAAATTAAAATTAATCGGCTTGACAACTCCAGTGTGTACTAATTATTTATTTAAGGTAATTGACTGATTATTCCAAAGAAAAACATTCCAAGTAAATAATGCTAAATACTGTTCATCGATAAAGATCGCCTTACAGCAACTTTTTATTTCGCATTTCGTGAAATACAATTAAAAACTTCTTGGGTAATATTATACTAGAGCCTAAATTATAACGAGATAATATTACCTGTTAAAAGCTTAATTTTTTTTTTACCCAAAACATAAAAAAATCGAACGTAATTGCACTTTAGCCTGAACTTGGACTTTTTTATGTAAGTGTGCACTCTTCTTAATGTTCCATTTAAAACAAGGACGGAGGGAACGAAACGTTACGAGTTCAATGTTTTAATCCGAGTGCAACAGGCACATAAAAACTTATTTTAATATTAAATAATGTGTTGGGAGGCTCATTATCGATTTTTTGACTAAAAGTTATTATTTCTCGGCAATAATAATTCAGCGTGCTATGGAGAGGGCTATGCTCGATGTTTCTTCACGAGATCGAATCAGAAATGGGGGAGATCCGTAAACGAACTAAAGTCGCTAACATAGCCCGACGAATTAGCAAGCTAAAGTGGCAATGGGCAGGGCACATAGCACGCACAACTGACGCCCGATGGGGCAGCAAGGTTCTGGAGTGGAGGCCGCGTACCGGAAAATGCAGCGTTGGACGTCCACCCACAAGGTGGACCGACGACCTCATAAAGGTAGCAGGAAGGCGCTGGACGTAGGCCGCTACCAACTGGGCAGCATGGAAAGCATTGGGGTAGGCCTATGTTCAGCAGTGGACGTCCTATGGCTGAGATGATGATGATGATGAATAATTCAGCAAGTATTTAGGATTACTCACGAAAATTAAAAATTTATTTGCTTAATTGTTTTTTCTGTGACATTAAATAATATTCAAACAGACAGACTGGCAAATCATGAACGCTCAAGACAGACTAAATTTCACGCGGGTGAAGTCGCGGGAATAAGCTAGTTTTACATAGTTTAGGTATTTTACAGCTAAAATTGTCTATCGGCCGAGGTAATGTAATACAATTACCATATTATTATCATTTACGTTCGTTGGCTCAGGTCAGCATTTGACCCGCTGACAGCGGCCCTTCCGAATACCGGTTACAATGTGCTGATAGTTACGCCCGTATTCACAAACATTACTATGAGATCTCACAGTGCGCGTGGACGCTCAGGGTGACACACGAACCAATCACAGAGCTCTATTCAACGCTGTGCGTTCGATTTGCTGCTTCACTTAAGCAAGCATCGTTTGTGAATACGGGCGATAAAGTGTGAGGCTTGGTGGATTGGCTAACAGATTTTGTAATCGTGCAATCGTAGCTTCGAATTCCGTAGGAGACACATTTTACAGCAATGATGAGCAAATTAATGAGATAGGCAGAGATACAGAGTTTTCTAATAGAGCTGTTGAGTATATTCGTAAGTGTAATCTGTTATTAATCGTTGTAATGGACAACTTCTGGGCGACGATGCTAGCGCAGAAATCAAACTCTTACTCACAAAATCAAGAAAGTTTTGAAATGAAAAAGCTTAGAGTTAAATACGCTCAAACGGAATAGAAAAGAATAGTTT